CCCTCAGGGAACCATGGTTACATACGTAACCTAGAGACGTTTTAAACAAGTGAATAATTCAATGACTCATTCAAAAACATCCAAAATACGCCAACTGGTATATGTCACCTACAGAATGGCCCACTGAATGAATCAAAGTGAATCTTTGCCAGAAATATTTAATTTTCAAAATCGCTACCACTATGGCTGCACATTTAATTTAATATAGAACCAAAATCGAATATTGATTGAACATTTTAAGGCCAACACTATGTTTAAAAATCATTGGACCTTTTGTTTACCTCAAAGACATTCTTGGTCATGCCTGGCAGACCATAGTAGGAGATTCCTGTACTTCTGGAGCTCACACAGATTTCTCCAACCTCATCCATTCGACACAAGTATGGCGTGCCCTCTAACCGAATCACACACACCAGCGCTGCACACACACACACACAGATGCATAGACAGCACATTAGTTCCCAAGATAAATTAAAAATTCAGAATAATAGAATGTTAAAAATAAAGTGCCAAAAAGTAAAGTATTTCTTCGTCACACTATTCATCCAATCAAACCTGTTTTTCAGTCTATAGATCAATCAGTGAGAGGAGTAAAGCAGGTCTCACCTCCAGGCATGACCTGTCCTACATCCTGAACAGTGAGCACAGAGAGCTTCTCCTCTGTGTCCACTCGAATCACCCCATAACTCAGACCGCTCATGGACAGCACTGCCTTACCCGGAGGAGGAACACCCATCTCTGGAGGCCTGAACACACACATACAGAGTCATTCAACATGGATTTGGGCTCTGGAAAATGATAATGCCATATGCAAATTAAAATGCAAAATGTCATTTCTGAGATGATAACTGAAATGCATTAGATAATAAGGTGAAATAAAATAGCAAGCAGTGTCTTGTGTAAACTGGGCAGAATGCATGCACTTGAACAGTAGTGGTTTTACAGTAGCAAGTTGCTGTAATGTCATCAGTGTACCTGCGGATGGCGACAGTCATGGCCTCAGAGGAACTTGCACATGGGCAGATCACCTCTGGCCGCAGCCCGCGGGCCTGAAAGACGTTGAGGAAGGCATCGCAGGACGAAATAGACCCTGTATTTCAATATACACAACATACACAGTGTTCCAGCGACAGTTCAAGCTGTGTTCCATTCGATTTGGAATTATGCTTGTTCTCAGATTGTTCTGTTTAAGTGTATACCCACATGGGTTTGCTCCATCAGCAACGATGAGCATGCGGAGAGAACTAAGACTGATGTCTCTCTGATCCCTCTGGGCTAAAAGTGACCAGTGCATATCCCTGGATTTCACCACTGCTACACGTGCTGTTTGAAAAACACAGGACATATAAACATGCAAACAGTCACACAGCATTTAATCAGTGTAGTAACTATGATGTGAAACAGGTGTTTACTGTCTATATGTGACCCTGGAGCACAAAACCAGTCTTAAGTAGCACGGGT